AGTTAATTTCTGAGACATTTTCCTGATCTGGGGACAAATTTCTGTTTTAATTATGAAAATATTTTTCTGAAACCTACCTGGATTTTAATGGAGACTCTCACAACTGCTTCAGGTGTCATATGCCCTCTGAAAACTACTTGTCACCTGGTCAGGATGAATATTTTTTGGAGCCATCTTCATTTATGTATAAATGAGAAAAAACTGAAAACACTCAAGAGGCGGTGAACCCATACCATAAGAAGTGGCTATCAGAACAATCGTGATAATTTACTGCATATTAGTTATGCTGGAAATAGGAAATGAGGTTTTGCATTGGTGTCTTGGGTATCATAGAGCACAAGAGGTCAAATATTACAGTCCATAAAAACCAAACTACACACCAGTCACTCACATTTCCAGTCACATTAAATAATTCAGGTCAGAAATCGAGGCAATCTCTACAAATTCCGCAGTCTTAACACAACCAACGTGCTCGGGCCCCTTCCCTCCAGAGAAGACAGCTGGCTCCCGCCACAAAACTGCCCTTTAACACACGCGACTGCACCGTGAGCTTTTATGGCTTTAAAAATTACGACACGAATCTTTTACGACTCCTTCCCCTGCACCATTTGTCTCCGCGTTACCATTACTACTGTCGTGCACAGCAGTTCTTTTTATAAATCTACCCTGAGGCTCCTTCCATCTTGTTCCATTTCCTTTCTCCCATCTGCTCCATAAGAAAAAAAGGTTAATATGTACCAGGAACCCATCTTCGCCCCACTTTATGATGCTGGAACTCCCTATGGAGATCCTTCGCTCCTTCCCACAAACACAGGGAAGTAATTTTCTTTTCTCTGAAAATCACCAATCCTCCTACTAGAACATGTGAAAAGCAAAGAGTTATGCCATGAAAAATACAAAACTCTTAGAGAAGTATGCCACTCTGTGCATACTCTTCCCTCTAATGTCATTTTGAGAATATAAAGTTAATTTGCACAACTCTGCAGCTGTTCAACCATTATGGGACAATATACTTCTTAAATTGCATGCATAAATTCAGCAATCCTAAGATCAGTACTCATTCAAATAAATCTAAAAATTAAATCAATGTTTTCTCATTCGGAAAAAATATCTATTCAGATCCTCTGCCCATTTTTAAATCTTTCTTAAATTAATTAATTTATTTATTTTTATGGTAACATTGGTTAATGAAATCTGGCAATTTTCATCTGCACATTTTAATAGTAAGGCATATATATATATACTTACATTGTGTGTTGAGTTCCCATAGTTAGATTCCTTTCTGTCACCACATATTTGACCCCTTATACCCTATTTACCTCCCCTCTCCCTAAATCAAGTTTTAAAATGGTTTCAAATACCTTCTTAAGGAGCCCCTTTAAAAATTATGTAAAATGATATTCACTGCAGCATGATTTGTAATAGCAAAGACTGAAACATTATAAACAACTATATATAAAAGAATGTTAAATAAGTTATGTGCTATCCATATAACACAATTTTACGCTATTAGGAAAACAGAGATCTGCACCAATATCAAATAATCTCTAAAGATACACAGTATTGTCAAATGGGAAAAATGAGGAATAGAGCAATGTGAACACTATGCAACTGGTAGCGTAAAAAACTCCCCACCCTATATACATATGCAGGCACAAGAAGTGTCACTGGAAGGACATATCACATACTGGTCAGTGGCTACCCCTCAGGGGATAGGACAAGATTTACTTTATACTAAAACAATAGGGATAGGACAAGATTTACTTTATACTATATAACCATTTGTACTATAACCATGCACAGCTTAACACGGGACACGTTCTGAGAAATGCATTATTAGGTGATTTCATCATTTGCGAACACCACAGAGTGCACTTACACAAACCTGGATGGTCTAGCCTACTACACACCTAGGCTAATTGGTACAGCCTCATGCTGTACCTAGGCTACAGGCGTGTTACTGCACAGCATGTTACTATATAAAACATGAGAATAAATCAAGCATAAGAGAAAATGATGCAATCAAAAGACATGGAAAACACAAGATGTGAGAGGCTGCTGCTGGCATAACATGGCATACTGTCTACAGCAAATTTTTTTTTTAGTAAGTCGAAAGACTACACTCTAATGATAAAAGAGTATAGTATAGTAAATACATAAACCAGTAACATAGTTGTTTATTATCAAGTATTATGTATTGTACATAACTTATGTGCTACATTTTTATATGGCTGGCAGTGCAGATTTGTTTATACCAGCATCACCACAAACACATGAAGAATGTGTTGTGCTATGAGTATCTTGTTTTGCCATTGTTTCGCTGGTAATTTGTCATAGTACTTTTATTTTCTTGCTACCTTATGATGCACACAAGAAATAAGAATTCAAGAAATTTGATTATAACTGAAGATAACTGAAAAAAAAATTAATTACCTTTGTTAAATTTGAAAAACCAAAACTTTCAAAACCTTAAACAACTAACTCCTCATTTCTAACTGCATTTGAGGTTTAAGATTTTCCTCCATATAATCAGAGGATTAATTCTTTCTTCCTGACAATAGGATACTGTGGGAAAGTGTGTGTGTGTCCATCCCAGTATAGAGACGGTATTACTGACAATAGGAATTTATCGTATACTTTCACAGAATTAAATGAAGAGATAAAAAGTTGCTGTTTTGCTGAGCAGGGTGCTTAGAGTGCTTAGAGTGCTGAGCAGGGTGCTTAGAGTGCTGAGCCCACAGACTGGCACATCTGCTGGCCAGTCTTTCTTCCAAAGACACTAGATATGTAAGGTGTGGTGTCACTGATATTAATGAAATATGTTCATTAAAAAAAAAAAACTAGAAAAAACAGATATCCAATAAAAAAATAAATATCAGTTACCACCATTTAAGGATAAGCACTATAAACGTTTTGATATAGAGCCCTCCAGATTTTTTTATACAAACAGAAATACATATTCCATTTTATAAAAATGTTTAGACATAAACATTTAAAACTGTTCAGACATAACATCTTAGCATTTTACAGTTGTTCCATTGCTTTACTTTGGAATTTAAATAAAGTTAATCAAATGAACTATACTATGAAAAATTATACAAAACAAGGCTAGATCCCTAATATATGTTTATATCAAATAAATTCAAGATGAAACAAACATTTAGATTGGTGATTGTGACAGTGTGACAGTGAAAATGCTAAAACACTGATAAGTTATTTTAAAAATATTAGAGGCAAGGACTTTCTTCTAAACATTGCATGAAATGAAAAAAGTTAAAAAATTGATAAATAAGATTATAAAACATGAACTGCAACTTTAAAACTAAATATCATAAACAATGTTACAAGACAAATGGTAAAAAACAATTTCCTTAATATGTAAGAACTCCTATAAAAATGAAAAGGATGAAAAACCCAATATGAAAATAGTAATTTCTACAAATAGAGGTTCATAGAAAAAGAATTATAGGTGATCAATATACCCTGGCATCAGAGTGAGCACCTTAAGCAGACTGAAAGAAATGAAAAATTTTAAAGTGAGGCCATTTTGCACTTACAAGAGTGATAAATTATCACAAGAAGAAACACCCCAAATCTCACCATCTAATAACTAACCTATTAATATAATTTTCTCTTAAGTGTTTGCCATCTGCTTTTTTGAGGGCAGTGCTTTTTTTTTTACCTGATTCCCCTGTACCTTACATAAGACTAGCACTAATGTCTGTGAATAAATGAAATACTTTCCAAAAGTAATGCATCGATATACAATGCTATCAGCAATACATAAACATTTTAACTGTACTCTCATCACTCTTTTGAACTTAATAGAGAAAAACATAAGAAAGAATGGCTCATACTTTCCATGTTAACTTGCACTCCTATTATTGAAATAATTCTTAAAAGTAATGCTGTATTATTAAGCCTAGTTCCAAAAATCATACAAAGAAGTAATGGTAAAAAATACCCCAAATTTGTTGAAAGATAATTTTACAAACTTAAAAAGTCAGCTAATCCAAGCAAGTAAAAACAAAGACTCATCATACTCTACCTGCTGAAGAACAATCTATTTTGACAGAGGGAAAAATGTCACCTACATACAATGACTGTGAATTTCTAATCAGAAACAATAGAGGCCAGAAGATAATGCAGTGACAACTTGAAAGAGCAGACTGAAAGGGGTGAGGACCCCACTACCAACCTAGAATTCTGTATTCAGTGAAAATATCCTCCAAGAATAAAGCTGAAACAGAAGCAATTCTAGATTAAAAAAGAAGAAAACCTAGCAAAACAAGTCCTGTACCATATGAAATGTTGAGGGGAGCTCTTCACAGAAGGGAAATGATACCTTAAGAAAACTAAAGTCATCAGGAAATGGTAATTATGTAGCTAAACATAAGACTACTGTGTTCCTTTTAATTTTTTTTAACATAAACATGACTGTTCAAAGCAAAAATAATGGGGCTTATAATGTATATAGACAAAAATATAACTTACCCAAACTAACAAAGATGAAATAGAAAATCTGAATAGCACTCATCTATTGAAGAATTTGAATTTATTATCAAAAATTTCCTACAAACAAAACCCTCGGTCAGATGGTTTCACTGGTGAATTCTATCAAACGTTGGAGGAAGAAATAATATTTATCTTATATAAACTCTTTCAGAAAATAGAGGAGGAAGTACTTCTCAACACATTTATATGTTCAGCATAACCCTGAAGCCAAAACCTGACCAAAGACATCACAAGGAAAAAAAAGTATGGACCAACCTTTCTCATGAAAACAGAAGCAAATATTCCTAACAAATATTAACTAACTGAATCCAACAATTTATTAAAAAGATAATACATTCTGACTAGTAGTTTTTGTCACAAGATTTAAAGGTTAGCTTAACATCTGACATTTAATCAATATAATTCATAATTTAACAGAATATGGGAGATTAAAAACAATGTGCTCGTTTCAATAGATGCAATGCTAATTTTGTTTAGATACTCACTTTAAGTTTTCTAATTCCTGTTTTCTTAATGGAGAAGAAGGTGGAGCTGGAATGAATTTATCTCCATCATGGCTTTTACTGCTAAATAAAGAAAGACTCTTAATTATGAAGAGCAACAAATAAACAATTAAATGTAAAATTTTGTTTTCCTATCTCTGCTCCCATGCAATTTTTTATGACAAAAGTGTAGAAGAGCCAAAACAATTAAATACGCTTAACTTGGTATCATTAACATGTTAAGCTATACTGAATATGAGTTTATTTTCCTCAGTACACAATACTGCATTTAAAAACCTAAATGAAAACAATATCTCTACTACACAAAGAAAACCACTCCGAGATTTTCACACATTTCTCATTCTTCTGATTGCCTTTTACCAACTACAGTAAAACATAACCCCTTGATGGAGGAAAAAAAAAATCCCACCATTTTGTTTCAAATTTTCTACATTAAACATATATTTCTATTATAATCAAGAAAAAATGCTGGGATGGGAGACTTGAGTTTAAAGGTGCCATGTATAAAAAGAACTTTTTATACATAAAATGGTGTTAGTTTTATTTATTACTAGATAGGCTTTCCCAATCTCTACAGATTAGTATAATATTTAATTTATACTAGAAAACTAGAAATATACAGAAATATTCTGGAGATTAGTGGTGAGCAGTTATTATCCAAATGTTGTTATTCAAAATAGAGGATTTTGGACATTCAGCTTGAAGATTTTAGGAATTCACGGAAAGGACAGAGGTTTACAAATAAAGTCCTGAAGGGATTTTGCCAGGAGGTTCTGAGAGGTCAAAATACCTGCAAGTTTCACTGCTTTCATTGCTCTCAGTGTTTCCACCTAGTTGATTACTGTTTTTAGACCCATTTTCCTGCTTTGGATCTTGCTGTTCTTCAGGTAAAAGCAACAAGGCATTTCTGAGACAAATGGCTGCAAACTCCATACTGGCTACAGGAATGGCTGAAGACTGTCCATCACTTAAAAGAACAAAACCAAGTTAGCTAAGTAAATAACATAATTATAAATAATACTTTTCTATCATGAAGAATAAAATCTATATAATAGTTAATGAAAACTCTGCCCTGTGATAGGTAGAAATTTTAATATAAGCAGTTACAAGAGAATGCTAAAAACCCAAATCCTAAATATTATATATAACGTATAAAAAGTATAGATCGCAAGTATATACATTGTACACATTGTATCTCTAGTAACAGGACCAAGGACGGGAGATAACTTGAAGGATATCTGTCAAATAAATGTTAATGTAATGGAGTTACAGACAAGAAAAATTATAATGAGGGCCAGGACAGGTATAATAACTAGAAACAAGGGAAGAAAGTAAATTTTCATACTGGAGCCTTGTTTTGGTTGATTTTTACTTTTGAGAATGCCTTTTTTTAAAAGTTTTCAAAATGTAGCATTATCTCTTATAATTTCATTGAGGTTTCATATAACTTTCTATTGGTTTGCTATATCAGACTGAGTCAGCTTTATTAGAAAAAAATAAAAATGTGAAAATTAGTAACAATTTTGAAATTGTAGAAAAGTGATGCTTTATCTTATTAAGCCTTTTTAAAAAATCTGTATTATAGTTGAAAAAATTAAGACTAAAAAATATTATGTGCTAGATACTATTTAAAACCTTTTGAAAAACTATAAACTGCAGTGAACAATTTTATTTTTTGGAAAAGGAAAAAAGCAGCAAATTTTTCACAAAGCCTACCACTTTAGAAATAACAACTCCAAATTGGAATCTTTATGCAAGATAAAAATGTTCGTATTTAAAAGTTGTTCAACAGAAGGTTCTTACATGTGACAACTTTATGTTGCTTTGGATGCTTTATGTATTCATACTTTTTTCTCTTAATACTAAGAATTAGCTTTAGGGACTATGAGAAAATACCTAAATGGAAAGTAACAATGATAAACTATAACGAGGAAACATCAAGATGCCCTCTTCTGGACATTCTGAATAATGGCACTGACCAGACCAGAGTTTAGGCCATCAACAATTTCCACACCCGTGGATGTAATAAACCAAAATCACTGTCAGATAACATTCACTACGGACCTATGCTGAAACAGCAATAAAACCTAGTTATAAAGTAGTTCCTCCTATGAAATAAATCTTAGCATATTTTTATATGTAAGTAACATTATGTGTAATAGTATTAAGTATATACACTTTCTCTTTGCAAAATACTTACTTATATACAGTGTTCTGTATGGACTGTGATGCCAGAACTATTTTACGATGATAGCCTTGACCAACAATAGACTGTACAATTCCTTTTTTACTTGGAAGACCTTTAGTTTCTTGTTCAGAAGTCTACAAAATACAAATAATCTCCAATGAATGAAATTGTAAAACGGGTTATGAAAAATGATTTAATGCCTTTCCAGTTGCTTTAAGAGAGTTCTTAAGGTCCATCAATGTGGAGTTTTTGGTGATACAGGTAATATATTCAGTATTGAAAAAGAGTACATGGGGTTCAAAGACATATGCTATATCTTATTAATGAGATAATTCTAATTAAAAAAAAAAAAAAAACAACTTAAGAATGACTCAAGCATTTAGTTAGAACAACTTTTTAGAACAGTCTAAACCCCAGGCACCATGCTGCGTATTATGGGTACTTTGACATCAGAGTGAAGAAGGGAGCCACAAACACAGTGAAAAAGAAGAGAAGCAGCTCCACTTCCTAAAACAGATCTTTTTCTTAATTGAAAGTATTTATTAAATTGCCAACAACATATAAACTCTAACAAGTTACATACATTAAGATCCACATGGGCACAATTCTTGCCTTCTAGGAAATGAAAATCTCCAAACTCTATAATCATTAAAATGAAAAATAAAAGCTACTTATATAGGGAGGGAAGAAGGAGAGTAAGGAAGGGAGAGGGAATTTTAGGATATTTTACTAAGATACATTATCTCACTATAGGAGCTTAATGCGGCCAATTTCATATATCTTCACCTTTCACTCTGCCTCTGATTTACCTGCATGTGGAATCTCAACTAATCATTTTACAACGTCATCCAGATTCTCATAAACAGCAACAAGCTGGAGCCAACCCATATAAACTTCCAGAGCTGCAAAAGTCTTTCTTTAAACACAGTGTTGCTGCAATGTTACTTAGTGCTCATTAATGTAACATTACAGCTGTGCTTCTACATATGACTTTTAATAAAACAAGGATTCACTGTATATTCATTTAAAAAAGAAAATATTACTTAATGCTTAAAAATACAGTAAAACTGCTCTGCTTGGAACTAATTTTGTGTCAAGGAGGAAGCCATACAATATTAACGAAAAATAAGAAAAAGTTGATATTCTGAACCATTATTGGAGAGACTTCCATTCTAATTTCTCTTCCCAGTGGTGGTGATAAATTTATAATGATTCATCCAGATCAGGGATCTCTTCCCTGATCTCCAAGGCCATGCAAGCTGATCAGATGGCTGGCTCTGGTGACCCAACAGACAAAAACAATGATGAAATGGAACTATGAATCCACAATAATTAACCATAATACACCAACAGTCAGAAAGTACCAGATCAGCAGTCTTAATGTAAAAGAATCATACGTATTATTATTTTATAGTGCCTTGGCAGTAATAGCACTAACGAATCTGAGTTTCAGAACTCAGAAAAATAAATGGTGTGTATGTGTATACACATACACACCATAAAAAATAGTCTTCTATTTTAAATAGTCTTCTCTTAACTTGGTCAAATATTCTCCCTACAATTGAGTCTATGTTTTATATTTGGCAGATCTTTTCTCATATACTACACAGTACTCAGAAAAACATAAGCCCCACTTCAGCCAAGAGGTCTGAAGCAACATGCATCAGGTACACAGGACAAAGTGATCTCCTGAGCATTACCGACTTAACAATTAAGTTGCTTCATTTAATTCAAAAATGGATTTATTTCTGAGGGTATAAACCGCTTTGTTCTGTCTTGACTAAATAAAATTAATTGTATAGAATCTTATTTGGTTTTATAGACTCTTATTGGGATTTTGCTCTGATTTTATTCAAGAGTGTTTTGGGGTTGTTTTCACTGTCTTTTAGGTCACCCCAGATCGTTTTTAGAAGGATAAACATGATTATTATTTATGGAATCATAAATCATTATTATAGCACAGATTGTGAGTGTTCTAGTTATCTACCGCTTTACGGCAACCAAGTCATCTTTACCATTTTTTAAAAATTGCAAATTTAGAACTTTCTAGAAGAAAATGGGGAGACCTTATAACAAAATCCATAGAAGACAATCCTGAAAGTACTATTTCTAAAAGTAAGTAATTTGAAAAGAAAATATTAAACCTTACTATATGTCTCTACTCCCAGGAAGACATAATGCCTTGGTTTCCAATAACTGTATGAAATAAAGGCCTCTGACACTTATATCCATGAACGGATTAAAGAGAATAGTCCTTTCTAGAAATCCTTTTATTTTAAAAAAGTATAAATTCTGTCTAGAACTGCTTGTTGGTTAATTTAACAATTATCAAATATGAAAATTGTCCTGTCAAAGGAAAAGCACAATGAAATAAATCATTATAGCCTTTCAAAGACAACACTCATCTCTTCCGGTAGGGTGTACTCTACCTACCAGGCAAACGTACTTCTTTAAACTCATTAGTTTCTGCAGTTGTTTCTCAGGAAGTGCTGTTTAGCAACAAGAGAAGGCGTAAACATCTTATATCACCTACTGCAGTCAGGCCAGGCAAAACTTCATGCCATACCTCCACAATCTCCACGTACACACAGAGCACAGCAAGGGTAGGGGGTGGGTAGGAAATGGGAGTGATACAGACATCTGGTAATTCTGATACAACTTGTCTTCCCCGCCTCCCACTGACTACTCCTCACTTGAGATACAAAGGCTTCCACTGGCCGTTTGGAGATAATCTAGGCATGGACACTGATGTAAACTGCCCTATTTCTCAGTCACTGTGGACAAGCATGTGTCAGAGGAAAACAGCCTGGTAATCCGTGAACTCTAAACCAGGGGACCCCAACCCCCGGGGCAGCGGACCAGTATCATGGCCTGTTAGGAACCGGGCCGCACAACAGGAGGTGAGCGGCAAGGGAGCGAGCGATGCTTCATCTGTATCTGCAGCGTCTCCTCAGCGCTAGCATCACCACCTCAGCTCCACCTCAGATCATCAGGCATTAGATTCTCATAGGAGCACGGGTCCCTGGTGCCAAAAATGTTGGGGACCACCACTCTTAACCATTTACTGAATCGAAAGTAAAGCTCCCAGGCACTGAAGGAGATGCAGTCTAACTCAGTTGTTTCCACATTCACTAGGTTGTTATCATTAGTCCTTCTCCAATCACCTGGTGCACACACCCATCCCACTGGCAGATGGCATGGCTCCTGCCCCAGTGGCTAACAGATCACTGTTCTAGCAGACCGGACCTTATTGGCTTCAGATCTTTAATGTGTCTGCTGATACATGTTGCCATACTTACCAAGAACCAGAATGCTAATAAATGACTTGATAAACTTAAATTTTTTTATCCAAACTGTTAAAGAACAGAAGACTATTTTTATAAATTCCTTGAGTTAGAAAGGGGATGAGACATCTTGGATGTTTCCAAGTATTTTTTGCTTTCCATATAACAGTGGGTGGTGGGGGAAGGTGTGGGTTCAAAAAGATACCCAAGCAGCGCTCACCCCCTTATTGGCAGCAATGCAGCATTCAGCCAGCCGTAGCCAGAGGCGGGGGTTTGCGTGATAAACCTGAACAGCTTCAATCAGGCACTCAAAAGCGGCGAGGGGCCTTCCGATGTGAAGAAGCTGAATTCCACAGTTATACAGCAACTCATACCTCTTGTTGGTCAGCAATGTACACATGGGTCTTCCTGAAAATTTTTTGCCTAATGATAAAAATTAGATGAGAATAAATCATTACACTTAAAATCACAGTTACACTGAAAGCATTTATTCCACTAAGAACTTAAACACTACCTTGTTTAATACTAATGACTCCAATTTGAAGTTTAATAGCTCTCACCATTGATCTCCAGCCCTAACCCCACAAATATTCTCCAGTCACTGCAGCTGTCCGTGCTGGTGGGGGATGAGATGTCTCTTCTCATTTGCCAACAAATGAGAAGCTCCTCAGGCAACAATGTTCCAGGAAGGCAAAGCAAGAGATAGGATCCACAATCCTTTGAACCTTCCCACATATTTAGATCCTGTAAGATTCTACTCTTTTTACTTTCAGTTTGGTGAACCAATTTATCAATCATTGTGTGCTTTTTCTTAACCAGAAATATTCAGTTAATGTTAAGGTGTCGGGGAACTTTATTATGGAAATAAAAATTAATGTACTATACCTACAATGACTATTTACCCACTTATTCGAAGTTTCACAGTCCATAATAAAACAAGACTATCTGTGATTCTGGATACATTTTTTCATCAGTTTTTTAATAACATATTTTGAAAAGCTAAACGACTGCTTGATTTCAAGCATTTCAGATCAAGGATCTATAGAATATGAATATTAAAGGAATAAATTTCAGGAATTTGCTTAAAGATTGTCGGGTGCTGCCAATAGTACCACATGTGAAACCCTGAAAAGAAGCTATAGTAAAACTAGTTTGGCACAATTAAGAAATCTTAACAAAATATTTTGTTTTTTAACATTACCACATAGGATTACTGATTTTCAAATGCATGAAAAAGTGAATTAAGTTTGATAATTACTCAACTCCTTCCTATTAAAAGTAGCTATAGCTACTAAAAACATCAAACGTTTGGGCAGGATCAGTGTAACCTGTACGTAGATACACATAGCATACATTTTGATCAGATGCTTGCTCTTTAAAATCTTACTTTCCTCAAGTAGTGAAATATAAACTGTCCCCCAGCAAAGGACATACCTGGATCAGTGCTGCCTGCACTGAGCTGTGCACAGACATTGTCATTTTCCTGTAGAGCCTTTTTAAAATAAAAAATCCCCAAATTGTGCTTGCTCATGGCAAAATGGATACAACCAAGATTATTCCAGAACATGCATCGCAAGCATTCACCTGAGAAAAGCACAAATAAATCTGTCCACAATTTTTACTGTTGATGTACAGCATATAAGAATTCGGCTTTCTCAACAATAGTTAATTCTATATACAATTTCGCTTAGTCTCTACAGAACAGTTTACAAAGCATTTGAAATTTAGAAAACCTGAAAATTTTGTAAACTCCCTTTTCTTAAAAAACAATCATTTATTAAAGGTGATAAACCAACCCTGCAAGATGATTTAATTAGCTGGGCTATTTTGTTTTCTGATTTAATTCAGAATTAAATTTTTACATTTTTGTATTATTTGCCTGTACCTGTAGGCAAATAATACAAAAATGTAAAAATAAAAATATTTGAGTAAATTAATGTATATGTATTGCATCCACATAACGAAATACAACATAGAAAATGGAAAAAATGAAGCATATATAGAAATGCTCAAACTATATTAAATGAAGAACAGTAAGAATATATAAAGCAAGATATATAAAATCCTGTTTTTCTTGTTAAACTGTAAGTCTCCATTGTTCTTTTAGTTCACACTTTAAGCATCTATTGTCTCATGTCTGTTGGGCATTTGTATTTCTTATCCTGAACACTGCCTTCTCCTATTTTATACCCATTTTTTAATTTGGTTACAGACGTTTTTCCACTGGTTACCTGCTATAGAAAACTTCTGTCACATCTGCCTCAAGTATTTCCCCACTGCCAGTTTGTCATCTGTCTTGTGACTTGGTCCAATGTGTGTATGTTTATGTTTTTAATCATAAAAAGTTTTATATTTTTATGTGGTCAAATTTAGTAATCTTTTCTAAGTGCTATAGTTCTTGGATTTTGGGTAATGTTTAATCAAGGCCTCCCCACCACAAAATAAAATATTCATCTAAGTTTTCTTTTGTTGCTTTTATGATTTTTTTTTTATATTTTAATCCTTCATCTCTCATGATTTTATTTTGGTATAATGAAAGCAATGCAAGCTTTAGTTTCCTTTTTCTAAACAGTTTCCCAAACATTCTAAAACAATTTACTGATAGTCCATCTTTTCCTCAATGATATAAAATGTTTGACTAGATTGAAAAAATTAATAATTAGGGCATTCAATGCTTAATCCTAAAAACTAACGGTTGACTTTTGAAATTTTAAAAATTGAGCAGTAATATTTAAATAAGAGAAAAACTATGTTTAGAAGAAAGATAGCAGAACATACACTAAAATGTTTTAAAAAGGTTGCTGCTGGGTAGTGGTATTGTGAATGATTTTATTCTTAAATCTTCTCTAATATGCAAATATCAGCAACAATAAATTTTATATATGGGAAAAATTAAATATTTAAAAATTATTATGAAAAAATCAATATATAAAATACACAACTATTATGTAAAAATCTTCCTATTATCATAACTGTTGACTAATCAACTACACGCACTGCTCCTGACTTCACTTTAGAAATTGCCAATATCAATTCTCAAATCTGTGTTAAGACAATCCTAACATTTTCTCAAAGCATATTATCTGTTTAGTCTGAGAGATCGGTTCAGTGTTTGGATGTTAGTGGTCCTCTGAGGAGAAACCATGACAATAACAAAATTAAAAAATTTAAATTTAGAATTAAAAAATTTAAATTTAGAATTAAAAATGGGTACTCAGAACAAAGGAATAGCCAAGATAATTATAATAGGACAAACTGCCTTTCTCTATGCTTTATGACTCCACTGAACTAAAGGAGGAAATGGGGGAAGGTTTGAGTATGTTTCCATGTGTGTTCTGTGCTTGTATATGGAAAAGAATTAAAACAAATCAAAAAACATATTCAGCTTTTGCATTTTAAACTTGGTACAAAACATTTTTAATAGTTTAACCTCATTTCTTGAATAAATTGATTTTCCTCCTTCCTCCTCATAAAACAGCAATAATATGAACTTAATTGACAGCTACAAATTTTACCTTTTATTTTACCAATAATATCAAACGATTCATTAAAACTTTCTAGAGATAAGAAGAGATGACAGTGATTGCCTTTCTAACTTCATAAGAAATATTTTTGTTATAGTTAATGGTCTAAAGAAATCATATTTTTCATTGCTTTTATAGGAGAAAAGGGAAAAGTAAAAAGATTATAATCTCATTTCCTTAAAAGGGCTTACTTTACAAAGCAAAAGTCCAAAGACCTTATGCTCTGGATATAATTTCTAAAATTATTAAATAACAAAATGAGAGAAAGAGCAAGTGAGAGCAAAGAAAAATAAAAGAAAAAGCGAGACATTTTCTAAAATTAAAACAAGTAGTAAAATTCCAGAAATCTGCAGCAGAAATAATAAAACATTTTCATTTAAAAAATAAGCAAAGAAACATTCTGAAGAGCTGTCTAGGGGAAAAAAAACAAGCAACAAAGGGTAGAAGAGCCAGGAAGAATACTAAAATTTCAATTTTCTTTTACCTGTTTTCATGAATCCTGGATGCTCAGCAATGTTTGAACTGTTTAACAGCTTCACAGCTTTTCGATAATTGCCCCTTAAATATTCAAAATTGCTTTTAAGAAACAGAGAGGGTGCAGACTGTAAAGAAAATATAAGTTATTTATGATTTGTTTTTAGGTGCCTAATACAAGATCATAACTGCTGTGCTGACATGTTCGAGAATATAAATGAATCAGTTAAATCACGGTTACAAAAACTACAGTCTTTAAGTTTTCCATTACTCTCACAATCTAAAAAAAGTGAAATCTGGCAGAGGACCTTATAAATTGACTTAGTGAGGGTCTACCTAAAAAATACATACAACGTATATGTAGAGGAATACAGTCTGCAAAGTATCAACTGTCTTTATCTATTACACTAACTGGAAGCCATATTAACAACTCAAACTAGGGGCTTCGTTTTAATGGTTTTTGGACAGACTGGTGATCTTCTTTATTTTTTAGGATACAAATGCACCTTCAGAATACAAAGAAGTACAATTCATCAAATACTTTTCTGAGTAGCAAAAAAATGTATCATTCTATGAACGGAGAAATTTCCTAACAGTATGCCTTATTTTGAGAGCTAATCTTACTGTTTCAAAGATCACCTTTGGGGACTGCAGACCACCTTTCGCTTCTCCCAAGAATCCTCATGGTGGAGGGTCATCTAAATAGTACCTATTTAGAATGCAAACGCATGCAGAGATCCAGGGACTAAACATCACCCAGGAGAACATCTGGAATCCTGGTCTCATTATTATTCTTAGCTTAGTTACAGGCTTTCCTTCTAAATCCTCCCTCATGCTTTGCTCTGCTTTCTGGTCACTGAGGAAATAAGGGCTTTCCAGACTTTTTCCAGGTGGCAGTATTTCCTCCTGAAGTGTTCTCTGATTTAGGTATGTCTGTTACTTTGCATTGCAATGATTTATTTTCCTATTTGTCTCTCCACTATGACTATGGCACCCTAAGGCAGGGGTCATGTCTCTTATCTCAAAAAAGGTTTGATAATGGCCGGCTGGCTACTTATGCCTTTCTCTCTTCTCCTCAAAGTCTTCTTCCTCAGGTCTAGGCTGCAACTGTTCTCCTCAAAAATCACTCGAACACTGACCCAGTGGCGAATCCGGATCCTGCCTGAGATTTCTAGGGTCGATTTTCTTAAACTACTCCTACTACCGACCATAGCTCCTTCTGATTTCAAACGTTTAATTAACAGTTTTCCAAAAGGCATCAAGACTGTTCACAATTCTGTCTCTTCCCACTACCACCTTAAAAGTTATTTCTCAGTGGGGTGGAGAGAGTGGAAGGAAGGAAGGAGTAATTATGTCTTAAATACTCTAGCACTAGTCAAACTGAAGGTACTTACTGTAAAGCCAAAGATCATTTGGAAGGGGGAGGTTTGGGCTACAACTTGACTGTTAATCTTTAATAAATGTTTTGAGTATCATCTAAAAAAAAGAAATCATGAAGTGTCTAATAATAGTAAATGTTTTAAGTGAATTGTGATAAACCACTTACAGAAGACTATGCAGCTATTTAAAATGGTGGTTTTGAAGGCTACATACCAAGGGGAAATGCTTGTTATAATTTCAAATAAGAAACACTATATTATGTTTTAGACACAGTACGATCATTACTTCACAAGTCACCATCAAGGTTATATCTGACAGTATATACACAGTGTAACAGACTAAAAAATTATTTAAAACTGACAAGTACATACTGTTCAAATAAGAAAGTTTAAGGACAAAAGCCAAAAGTTGAAAAAAAAGTCAAGAAGAACTTACATTTCCAGCTGTGTTCATGACTGACTTGATCTCCCTTTTGCAGGCCTTCAGAGACTTCATTTGGATGTACGCTCTTACTTTATACTGTCAGAGGAAAAGCGCTGGTATGTGAGAACTATGGTGGACTTCACATACCAAAGCAGTCTTACTTTCTCACTAAGGACATTAAACCCAATCTGTTCACACCATCATTACACCAGTTACTTATAAAAGCAAATTTAAAATTATCTTAATCTATTTTTATTGTACTCTTGGAATATACTCTAAAAACTAAAAACGTGGTAGAATAAAATTTATACTTAAGTTCCAAGCAAAAATCCTACCAATTCTTATCTGCACATGGCTAATTAACAATGGATTTTAAAAATTCAACAAACTGATTTCATCTTTCTATATATCCTCAGGCTATTCCTCTCAATCTTCTATACAGTAAATAAAAGAAATGATATATAATGGTTACCAGAGAGTAGCGGGGAGAGGGGAAGGAGAAGGTAGATAGGGTAAAGGAGATCAAATATGTGGTGACAGAAAGAAATCTAACTATGGGAGGTGAACACACAATGTAAATATATATATGCCTTATTGTTAAAATGTACAGTTGAAACATCGGATTTCGTCAACTAATGTCACCATAAAAAATAAATAAATAAGAAATGATATGGCACTATCACCTTAAGCAAAATATATTCTAAAATACAATATTTCAAAGCCAAATAAATACATATGCCTTAAATGATTTACTGCTTTCAATGATCTATCACACTCCTCATCATTCATAACACAAGTAAATACATGTGATGTATAACCTCTCTTAAAGTTTACGCTACCTGGTGTATCTTTGATTTTGCAGCTTCTATTAGAGTTCCACTTTCAGCTTTGTGATTGGATCCATCTTTGTTGGTGTTATTACCAGCCTGTAGGGTAGTGAAACAAAGTTAACCAAAATGATATCACTGACTTCCAAGTGAGCTACTCTGAATCTCCTAGAAAGCATTTCTAAAATTCAGAATCTCAGGTCCCATTCTCAGAAATTCAGGTGGAATACTGCAGAGTGGGTGACAAGCAACTCTACTTATAAGAAGCTCACTGTTGAGCATAATGATAGACTAGGTTTAAAAAACAGGAGTATTACTCAGGCAAAACCCAGGAGAGATCATGTCATTCCCTTCCTAAAAACCTTCTCTGGTATAAACACTGCCAATGTCATACTTTTAAATTCTTAGTAAAGTATTCACAGTCCTTCACAACATGACCCATATTTGAGTTGCTCATCTCATCTCCTGCTGATCTCCATTACATTTCTCAGGCACCACCACCCATTTCGGATTACCAGAATTCCTCCAACACACCACTCTCACATCTTTTGTGCTGTCTCCTCTGCTAGGATGGTTATCCTGCTCTAGCCTTCCTTTTCTGATTCGTCAAACTATTACATCTTTGAAGGCCAAATCAAACATCTGAGCTTCTCTGAAACATTCTCGATCCCCCTTCCTCCCAGTCCCTGAATATATTTGCTCAGTCTTTCTCCTTCCATTGACCTGAGTTCCTTGAAAAGCAAGAATTGCAGTGTTTTCGTTTTTGTCACCTTAGCACCTAGCAGAGCACACAAACATCTGCTGAACTGAATTATATTTCACTATCGCAAGTACTAAATATAAAAATGAAATATTTTACTACAGTGTTTATGAATAATATTAAGATTATTTAACTGAACTCTTACATATACACACTTGTTAAAATGAAAAAAAGCAATGATAGATGTTTGTTTTTAAACCTCAACAACTTACATAAATAGAAAGGTACTGACAATCTACTTTCTGCAAATAATTCTTTTTTTAACAAAAGCATAGGAGCAAGAAGAGAGACCATCCCTTGAGAACCAGAAGCACAAGCCAAGTGAAAGATGTGAGCACTGAAAAGTGCTCTCAGCATGCACCAGGGTGAGAATCAGTCGTCATAAATGGGCGCTCTTTTTGAAGAACTTTGATGATGAAATTTTCCCTAGTGAAAGTTACCCTGTTTAACCAGATTATGAAATGTTATTGTCTTAATTCTAATCTTTACATTCTGTAAAACTAATATCTCACATATGAAAAGATGCTAACACATATCTTTAGTCATCAGGGAAATCAAAACTATTATGAGATCCCACTTCGCACTCATTAGGATAATTTCAATTTTTAAAAAAGATAAACGAGGGTTAGCAAGAATGTTAAGGGACTGAAACCATCGTTAAGTTGTTGAAAGAAATGTAAAATAACTCAGCTACTTTGGAAAACAGTCACAGTTCCTCCTAAGGTTAAACCAAGAGTCGTCATATGATCCAGCAATTCTATTCTTATATACTAAGGCGAACTGAAAACTCTAGCCCCCACAAAAATCTGTACATAAATATCCACAGCAGCATTATTTATAATAGCCAAAAATGCAAATGCTCATTGACTGATCAATTAAAAAATGTGGCACAGCCATATAATGAAATATTATTCAGCCATAAAAAGGAATGAAATACATAAAAAAGGAATGAAGTATATGCTACGACATGGTAAACTTTGAAAATATGCTAAGTGAAAGAGGCTAATCACTAAAGGCCACATATCATATGATTCCATTTATATGAAATATCCCCAAGAGGCAAATTCACAGAGATAAAAAGTAAATTAGTGGATGCCAGGGGCTGAAGAAAGAGATAAAAGGAAATGACTATAAATGAATACAGGGTTTTGCAGGGTGATGAAAATGTTCTAGAATAAAGTAGTGATGGTTGTATAATTCAGTGAGTATACTAGAAACCAGTGAATTGTACACTAGTAAATGGTACGATGGTAAATTTTGTGTATGTGAATTACACCTCCCTCCCTCCTTCCCTTCCTTTCTTCCTTCCATCTTGTCATTAATCAAAAATTTAATCTATCTGTCACTCTCTACCTAGCTTGTGGAGGCATCTGAGTGTAGGCATAATTTTTTGATTTGTATTTTAAAAAATTTTTGAGATGTAATTGACATACAATAGTATATTAGTTTCAGGTGACCAATATGATTCAGTAATTGTATATATTGCAAAATCTGGTTAACATCCATACACAGTTACAAAATTTTTTTGTGATAAGGACTTTGAAGATCTACTCCCTAAGCAACTTTCAAATATGCAATACAGTATTATTAACTACAGTCCATACTATATGGAATTATATTTCAAGAAAGCTGTTAATATTTAATAACTACAAATATTAACCATTATTTAAATTTTAGTCTGATCATGTCAGAACACTCACCTCATTCTTTCCATTTTTGTTATTGTTACCCTGGGAAATCATTTTTTCTAGGACTGCAAGAAGATGCAAAGCTTTCTCAGCTTGGTAGGTTAATATATACAGGTCTACAAGCAAAAAACACACTGCTTGGGCAAATTTTTCTTCTGGAAAGGGAAAAAAGAAAACAGGAAAAGAAAAGTCACAATCCAAAGTGAAGCAAACATCTCAAACCACTATTCTCCAAAGCTTTAAAGAACAAAGCCTAAGTCTTTATTTACTTAAAAGAATGTTTATCACCTAGAGCCATGAATGAAAGCAACTTGCAATGTCAACAAATGCCATTCTATGAGACTTCTCAGAGTGTCTCATTTCGGGGATTCTAGCAAGTGAATTTCCTTAGGCAAAATATCTACCAAACATCAGTGCACATACTTGTTTGGAAGGAAACCTCAATTCCAGTACCTGCTCAGCTACTTACTAGATGTGTGGCCTCTGCACATCACTGAACTAATTTTTAGACTTTAGCTGGCTGACCTGTAAAATGGAGAGAATACTTTACCTGCCTGAAGGTGGGGGGAGGGGAGACAAGGTGATCACCTGAGGTTCCTTTTAACTCTAAAAAGGTTTGACTCTAGAAAATAGATTTCCTTTCTAGATACAGAAACGGAAAAAAGAAACAATTTAATTACAGGGACAAAAGCAAGGTATGGATCGGAGTATATCAGAAAATTGCAACAGCCAACAGGAAAATATAAAGACAAGGACTTCAGAAGAAGACGAGCCCAACCAAGAGAGGAAGAGTATACCTGGTATGACATAACACTACTTCCTTTCCTTGCAAAAGAGAAGGTAAAAGGAAAAATTAAGTCTAAAAGAAGGCTGCCACAATCAAGAACAGAAAATTTCAAAAGCCCTTAAGAGCCTCCTAACAAGTCCTCCAAATTCCATTCTTACTCCTACCAGTAGCCAGAGTGGAATTCATTTAAAACTGAAATCAATGCAGTTAATGTGCAGAGGACATATCTCCGAGGGCTTTCCGCCCCCTTAAAACAATAAGTCCTTACCTAGGTTACAATGCATTACCTGTTCTGCTCTTGGCTAATTCTGAGTTCATTTCCTACCAGTCTCCCCACCTACCTCCAGTCACAACTGCCTGTTCCTCTTACTCACCAAACTCAAGCTCACCTCAGGTTCTCTGCATATACTATTACTTCTGGCTGGAATGCTTTTCCTCTAAAGAGTGGCATGGCTCACCTAATCTCTTCATCCAGGTCTCTTTTCAAATACTGTCATATTTCAGGCCTTCCTTGACTACCTTATCTAAAAAGAACATCTCAGTCGATCTCTATCTTCTTACCCAATTTTAGCTTTTCTTCACAGAATTGAATTACCTCACACTATATTTATTGTGTTGCTTACTCTCCCATTAGAACGTAAGCTTAACAGGAGTAAAGGCTTATTCTGTTTTATTCATTGCATTATCTTCAGATTCCGGAACAGTGTTTGGCCCGTACTATATGCTCAATAAATATATATTAAGAATCCAAGTAGGAAAGTTCAAAAAACAACAATAATAATTTTCAAAGAAGAAAAATGAGTTTGAATACTGGTTGGTTGCTAGATTCCACTCAACCACAGGGAAAGGATTTCATGAACTATTCCGGAAATTCTAAAAAGCAGCTTTATAGAAAAATACATCTGTGTCATCCTGGAAGTATAATTCTGACTCTAGCTTTTCAAAAGACAGAAACTGTCCACTCTTCACACAGTCCTTCACCATTGCGGTCTCTTCAGCCCAGTCTGTCCAGGTACCATGCCTTCATGATTAGGAGAAAGAAGAGCAACACCTTAAAATGCCACGCTGGAGCCACAGAAAGCACCTGTTCAAGCAGCTGTCAGCAGCAGACAACCCTGTAAGTCTTCCTGAAGCATCACAGAGGAGCCATCACAGTCCACCACCACCTACCTGTCCTGTAGTGACTATATCAGCAATCAGGTGTTTATAAATCAGGAATTTGCATTAGTGTTTTGAATTTAAAAGAAAGTAACCATGGAGAAAAAGACAAGAATGTGACTCACAACTGAAATCTGACTGATTGTAGGTAGAAACCAACAGTGCTCTCTAACAACCATTTCCCGGGTCCACCTTTGCTGCTTTATTTGCTCCCACTTTTTTCCTTTGCCCTTACCTTTCTCCCTGCTCTTGAGGCTGGTACTTGTAAGCCTGTTAAGATAACAAAAAAGCTAACACAGACAGTCCTATACTATCTACTCTATTTCAGTTAGGCAATAGACAAAATAAAATTCTACGCTGTCCCCTAACATTTCAAAACACGCCTTCCTTAATACATTAAGAAAGGATCAGGTACACTAAGGTGGTGTTTAAATAGCAACAACAACAAAGTTAGCGAGCCTTTCCAATTAGAAATAGCATTTTTAGCAGTTATCCTCAAAACTAGGGTGGGTGCATGCTAAAAGAAAACCTGGATTCATCTAAAAGTGGTATCATTTTTATCTTCTCTAACCATTAAGAAAACCTGACACAGCTCTTTTTCTTTCTTACTGACATGTAATTCTCTGATTTAGGTTATCTAGGTAAAAACACCAGAGACCTTTGTAAGTATGAGACAATAGGGACATTTTTGACTTGACAGATAACATACCAAAAGGTTCTATAAACTGATAAAGTTTTTCACCAACTGATATGGCTTCTGTATATTGCCGCAGATGATAAAGAATGACTGCTTGATTGTAATACAACATGCTGTTTTCAACATCATCTAATCCATCCATTTCTTCAACAGCCGAGTGGACCTATAAAACAATCGACAGGGACTATGCTCTAATAACAGAAGGAAAATAAACAGCAAAAGTGAAAGAAACCTATATAAATAAACAGGTATACAGGCCAACATTTCTTACTCAGAATTTTTACACATTTTCAACAGGACCTCTAGATTTTATTTACTCACAGTAAAAATTATTCCATTGATAATAAAATTCTGTTCAGTAAAACAACTTGATGAGACTTTATTAAGTATTTAGCACAAGGCAAGGTGATTCTTCCTTGCCATTGTGAAGATATCTTCAATGTTTAATGGCCAGCATGGTTTCTGAGTTGGATTCCCACTCTGCAGCCTCTTGAGCTGAAAGAGGCTACATGAGTGTCCAAAACTCAAAACAACTTTTTCCATAAGAATGTTATTCAGTTATGTACATATACGTTTGATTCCATTTTGTAAAAACCAAAGTAAAATTTAAACATTAACAAACAATAGCTAACTACTTCATAACTATGTACTAGGCCTGCTACAAAAAGTTTTTCTTACAGAGACTACCTCATTTAATCTTCACCATACATTGAGAACATAGATAACATTATCATTCCTATTTTATAATAAGTAAGGAAACTAGCTCAAAAAGCTTGCCCAAGGCCATATGACTAGAAAGTATATTTTCTGATTTTCCTATTAGGTTCAGGTTTTGTTCCCATAATAAAAAGAATAGATTTTTGAAGTAATGAACAACAAAAATACACTTTGTCACAATGGGGTGAAGACAGTCTTTTATTGGCTTTATTAGAACCCTAACGTCTACATCTGATACCAAAAGGAAAAAAAATCACACCACTTTGCATTTTAAAGCTAATGACTATCTATGGGCTTTTAAATTTTAAACAAATTTTGCAACCATTATGTAATTCCATGCAACACATGAAACTGGAATTCTACCTACATTAAAACTAATCTTTCTTGTCATACGAAGATTGAAATATATTATTGAGCAATGTTAATTAATTCAAAGACTAACATTTCCCTAAATTAAGCAGAACTTTGATATACATGGACTTAACAACCTGGGTTTGGTGCATGGCAAGGAACTGGAAGGTTCCTGACACAAGTGACTTATAATCAAGACTTCTGCAGACTTCAGTCACCCATGTGGAGAGCCTGACCGTGGGGTTCAATATTATCAATTGGTCTTAGCTGATGAACAACACGTGCTTGATGAATCCGGGGGTTCTTTATAATCTTTGCTTATCAAGTCACTATCTTCAAGTGATTAAAAATAATCTCTTTAAATAGAGAAAACTCAATTTCCAAAGAGAGACAACATTTCTTAATAAATGGGGAGAAAGTGAGCTAAAGAAGGGTTAATTCTTAGCCAGAAAGAAGAGTTTTGGATAAATTAAGGAGTTTTTGGATTCAGCAATGGTTGAGCTTATGACATAAATAACTTTGCCACATTTTCTATGAGTCACCAAAAATAATCTAGTCATTACCCTAGCCAGGACTAAAACTACTCATTAAATGATAAAATGTTAATGGAAGTGGAATAGGTTGACAGGTGTGTTACTATGCCCAGAACAAGTGGCTCTGAATAGAAGTATGATTTAGAGAAAGCTAGGAGACACGAGTACAAACACTTATAGGAAACTCAAGAGTTGGAAGGCACTAGGGGGGTTATTAAACCAACCTTTCTAAGAATAAAGGCTGGTGAAAGGATTTCTTGACTTAAGTTTGCAGGAGCCTTCCATTATTTAAAAAAAAAGTTTTAAGGACGAATTTATGCTCCAAGATCCAATAAATGTTCCTTGGAAGAAATTGTCCATGAGGTCATAGCGCTCATATACTAGATATCAACAAACCTCATCTTTGATTCTGGAGCTCTAGAGAAAGTTATGGGTAATAAATACTAGTGTAATGAGGAAATGTGATGATATCTAAATTTATGAAGACTGAGGTAGTTATAAGAATAGGCTCAAGAGTCAGATGGTCTAGTTCAAATACTGCTCCTTTCCTTCTTAGTTGTATAAATTAAAAATTTTAGGCTCCCTAAACCCCTGCTAGAAAATTAGATAACAAGTATCTACCTCAATGGTTGAATGTGAGGATTTCATGAGTTGAGGCATAAGGGCACTTAATATGGAATTTGGAACCAAGTAAGCATCTGATAAATGTGGGCCCTTAGTCTCATTTTCATTGAAGAATTTTAATAGGGTTGAAAATGACTTTATTCCTATTAAAAATTATGAAGAACCTGAAGGAGTCACTTATTTCCAACTACATCATATTTTAAGGTGATACTCTATGGTACAGTGGTACTCATGAACACAGGAAAGAGACTCAAAAAGGTCTTGAGACCTTCTACAGCATGAAGCAGTAATTAAAAGCGCAGGTCCTAGAGTCAAACAGAATGGGTTCGTGTAGCTCTTATGACCTAAAAGCCTTGTGTTTGGGACAGTTTACATAAGCTATCTGTACCTCAGTTTTCCTATCTGTAAAATGAGAAAAATTATAGTTACTACTTGATAGGGCTACTGGGAAGAATAAGTGAGATGCTATATATAAGGTTCTTAGCAGGGCCTTGTTACATAGTAAGCTCTAAATGTCTGCTAGCTGATCCCATCGTCATTGTAGCCTTCCTGAATATCAATGGTCTAATCTTATAATTTGAAAAATGTTGTTATGACTAGACTAATGAAAAAGGCAAGCCCTAAGCCATATATAAATCAAAATATATTCTACTTAATCAATTAATCATCTCTTGATCCAAAATGCTAAAACAATTTGACATTATTAACAATCAGATCTTTGCAGTAATAAATAAGAAATATCTCAGTGGCTAAGCTTCTTCATGTATTTGTACTTTAATTCTTTCTCAAAACTCCAAAGCTCACTCAAATTTGGTATATTACTCTATTCTGTTCGAGTTAAAAACCCAATAGAAAATAAAATCATGTAATATACTTTTCATTTCCTGGAATTATTTTATACACATAAAATTAATACCAATAAATGTTTCAGATATATTAGAAATTGTGCTATCAATATCAGACAAGAAATCACATTAATTTTCCTTAACTATTTTCCTCACAATTTAGAGAGCATCACAACATTTTTATAGCTAAATTCACTTGTGTGTTACCTGATTCTTCAGCTGGTTAAGTGTCTGTCTCAAACTATCTGTTGTTGTTTGGTTACTTTTAAAAAACTCAGCTACTGCTGTATTCAAAATTATTTTATAATCATCTTTGTTTACATCTTGTAGGCAGGCAAGGTGTTGCAGACAGGCATCATAATTCCCAGTCTAAAACAAAAATAAAAACACATACAAAATTACATACCAGTTTTAAGAACTACACAATCATTTCCAAATATACTTCACTCATCTTTATTTAAAAATTCTTTAAAAAGACAGATATAATTTCCCCAAATATACCAGTTAAAGTCACTAGACGCAGCAATATTGATATCAATTAAGAAATTGTGATATGTTGATCATCTCAATAAAACTGGAGAAAAAAAGAAATTGCAGGAAATATTTATTTCCTAAGAATCTAACATTGATACATGTACATCATATCTATAACATTTACATAAATATATATAAAGTATACCTATGATGTTATAATCACATAATATATATATTAGTAAATTGACACATATTGCTAGCAGGGACAAGGCTAGCCAAGAAAAGTAATATGATTAATTACTCTACATTTTAATTTCAGGTAAATATGCTTTGAACACCCAAGCATCAAGTTCTTTTGCTTACATGTATATAACCTGATAATCGAATAAGGTTTTTATTTCCATATCTTTTAATGTCAGAAAAGTTAAAGTTTTGACAAACTTTTGGGGTTCCATTTTAAGGCACATTCAAGAAAAAGAATTGAAAAGAGTAGTTAAATAAAAAGACTGACCCACAAACTTACAAATTTAAAGACAAAAACAACACTGTGAGAGTTAAAACATATTTATGAAAACACAAAAACTTGGGAATGGCTCAAATTAGTCCCTTTCTTTTCACCATATTTAAACTCTAAAATGTTTTGTTTTATTACTAAACCTACTCTCTGAACTTAACTCTTGAGTTAGGACAGAACAAAAATTATAAATTTAAAAATTCACTGTGAAATGATTCAAACTTGACAGATCCTAAAAATGGAGCAGATTAGGAGAAACCATTTCTTACCATGAAAGCCTGGAAGGCGTTAGTGGACAACTCCTTCTCTTGATCAGTGATCCCAGAGGACTGACCGGTCCCTTCATGTTTCTCTGTTCCCTGATCTGCAAATATACAAGTTTTACAGTTCTTTAGAAATAACAGTTTTGCAGTGCATGTGTCCCTAGTTTTCCTGTCTTCGTCCTAATGAAGTTACCAAAGTTAGAGCTCTCTCAATTACAACGGCTAATCAGTGTTCTAAATAAGAAGCCACTCCTCAAAAAATTTAAATGTTTCCCTTAGTCCTGGCTAAGTTCGATGAAGACACACCTTTACTTATGTCAGAATTATAGTTCTGTCCATTGGGACATTTGGGCTGAGAATGTGCCCCTTTAAAAATATTAATCTGAGTCTACGGCTATGCCACCCTGAACAAGCCTGATCCCATCTGATCTCAGAAACTAAGCAGGGTCGGGCCTGGTTAGTACTTGGATGAGAGACCACCTAGAAAGATCAAGTGCAGAAGGCGTTAAAAAAAAAAAAAAAAATCAGTCTGTCCCCACAGCAATACACCAAAGGCAGGCCCTGGAGACACAAGGACATTATGTGTATATACATGTACAATGCCTTCAAGAAGTTTATAATCCAGTTGGAACGCAGTAACATTTAGCAATGAGAAAACGACACTGATAAGAACTCGGGAGGTAATTTTCAGGCAAAGAATGCGTTCATAAACTTAGAAATCCAAAAGCCAAGATGAACACAACTAAAAAGCCTCCTTAATATGAGTTAAGTGTCCATACACATTCTCAGATTAATGATTCCTGCCCCACCATTTACTATTTTTACTATATTTACTATTGTAAAAATTAGATTTTTTGTTTGTTTCTTATAAAAAAAAATCAACCAAAAACATAAAA